TTGTGTTTTGACTCGCCCTACGGGCTCGTCAAAATACGGCACAACTCGTAAAAATATACAGCGATACTACCCACCAAAACATCTAATAAGATATATAAATTTTATTTCAGGATGACTTCATGTTGAAGATATTTAAAGGTGGAACACTCCTTGCATGCTTTAAAAACGACTGAGGATAAGAAGTATTCTTGAAACGAGAGAAATATAATAAAGTCATGAATGCATGAAAAAGAATTGTTTGTATCGTTGATATCAGCCATGAACGAATCTCTTTCTTCCTACTGCCATTATTTCTTTGATTTGCCCTTTAACAGGGAGCTTTAGCAACGACGACGTCGAAGACGACGCCTAGTAAAAAATGAATTTATATTTTGCCAGCTAAATTCGCAGCTGTCTAGATCTGTTCAATACGCCAATGGCTCTAAAAACGTGCTCAGGCTAAATATACACAATGACAATGTTCAATTCCAAATGGAAATACGAAAAATTAGCCGTCGTTGTTCGCGTTCCTAAGACTACGTAGAACTTAGTCATTTTATGTTGTTGCTTTGCAGAGGACGGTAAAGAAATGTACAAACATTTATAACGCACGTGCACAGCCATTATTCTGCTCATTAAACCTTTGGTTTAGCGACGTTCCCGTAGCCGTCGTCATCGTGCTTTGCTTAAACTCCCTAATAACGGTATATTACGTCGCTGATATCTTTGTTATAGACTCATTCTACCACTTGAGCGAAAATCTCCCAAACTTTTCCAGTTCTTTTTTTTATTAGGCAAAGATAACAGAGCCGTAAACGATTAACAAATAGATCTTCAGCTTTTCTTGCGGCTGTTCTGTTATGTTATCGATCGTGAATTTCGTTAGAACGCTGGGGGTGGGGCACTCCTAGAACAATTGGATGGGGGGTGTGCCGCCCGTTTCCCAAACTTCCTTACCTTATTTAAGACCAAAACCTGCAATTTTCCCTACTCTGTTTATGACTTGAAAAAATATTCGAAACCCTAGTTAAGACCCGATCCTTAAATCAGAGACCGATGTTAAGGGCTTTTGTAGTCGATAATGATGAAAAAGTGGCTTCTTCTAAAAAACATACCCAATTCAAGACTAGAGTGCAAAATCACACCCTATTTGAGACCAAAATGGCCAAAATCGATACTCTATTTCTGACCAAAACGGCTAAAAAATCCATACCCTTTAGGGCTGCACATATCAATAATCCATATAACTCCCCGGCCGGGGGTGGTGCGGGGGGAGGAGGAGGTAAGAACATTGTCGAAGTAGTTGTGGATCCTGTACAAGCAGAAGCATATCACCTAGAAGCGTTTAACTTCCCTTATCTGTTTTAAACTATGCTGCCGATGTTTCCCGACCAATGAAAATCACTCTTCCAATTTTTGCCCATATAAGGAAATTCTGCATAGCGCGCTCTTCGCGAACTCCTCGCGTGAATCTCTTGCAAAACAAACCTGTTCAAAATGGCGTCGAAAGGGAAGAAGTTCTCGGGCATGATGATAAAGAAGATTTGCGTCAAGGGAAAAGCATTAATAAGAGAGGAGGTTGTACTTGAAAGAGTTTCTGGTGAGTTGGCAGAAACATTCAAGGTTTAACTGGACTC